TTTGTGTCGTTTACCAGTTTATGCCCTTTGTGCTSACTGAAATAGCCATGTGCTGTGCAACGCAATGATGGCATCCCTGGATCTCTACACCTCCAGAGCAAGCGGTCCTTGTCTTAACCTGATGTGACCAGGAACAGAGAGAACTGCCCAGGGGAGGGTGGTCTGTGCTGGGCAAGAGGCCACCTGGGTCCCGAGCAGGGTTTCATTTCAGTCAGCTGGTAGGCCAGTTGAGGGAAAATCCTCGTATTTGTTCATCTCGAGATGTTGACTTGCCTGTAGCTCAGCACAACTTTTAATCAAAGGTTAAATTCTTGAATCTTTGTACGTGGTCAAAGCAGCCGTGCTGAGAAACCAGGGCTTGTGCTTGTCCCGCTCCTCAGAAGACAAGGAAACCGGGACCTCAAGGTCTATGTAGGCAAAAGCAGCRTGCTGAGACGGGGCAGAGAGCAACCGTGAGGATATAACACCGGGCAGCTCTGGAGCGCCTGGACTCAGGAAAGCGGCGCTCACTCGGTCACTGCTCAAGGCCGAGGCCACAAGGGCCAAGAGAGGGACCAGACAGGGCCAAGAGGAACCAGGCAGTGACCGCCGCAGMGCAGGCAGCCCCGGCACAAACACCAGCAGATCCCAGGAGGATCAAAGCCACGGAGTAACTTGCCACCTGGGTTAGCCCCACAGCTGCAGATCCTCCCCTGGCAGCGCAGCAGGACTCGCACAGGCATCAATCACGTGCGCCGCGACACTCAGAGACAGGAAAGCGTGGAGGGAAGGGAAACAAAGGCGAGAAACAAGGGATGGCCCTAAAAGGGAACCTGTTTTCTTAGCGAGCAATCCCGAAAGCCACGGCAAGGTGCTGAATGGCAAAGCCGAGCTCAGCACTTGAGGGCTGCGCAAGGTCAGAGCCCACCCTGCCMCAGCGCTGCCCTCGATGGGAGGCTCACGAGCAGAGACGGATTCCCAATCCAGGGAATCCGGCCATTTCCCCCGGATGGATCCGACAGCGCTGACACTCCACGTCAACACAAAGGGTGACAGACACGACACGCATGATTCCCGTTGGACAGAGAAGTGGGAATGCAGCGGGCTGAAGCCATGTCAGGCACGGCCCCGCCGGCGCCATAAGAGCAGCGTCTCCCTGCCCGCTCTGCCGGCGACCGCGGAGCGCTGTCGGTCAAACCCATTATTTTTCCGGCAGAGTCACGGCCTCCGGAGCGGGCAGGGAGCAGCACCGTGGCTACAAGCGGCGGCTCTGAGGGTTTAACCATCGCCAGCCTGGAGCTGCCGCAGTGCCGGCCGGGGCCTCAGCCCTCCCTGTGCCCACCCGCAGGGCGGGTTCACCCCCCTCGGGCTCTCCCTTGGACCTGGAATAGGATATTTAGGACACGGATCTGCCACAGTCCTGCTGGAGCCAAGAGTTTTGCCCTCCCTTGCACTCGCTGCTCCAGCCTTCCCAGCCCTTGGGGACAAGGGCAGCAGCCAACACAGCTCAACCCTCTGCATTTCCATCCCACCCTCAGTGGCTCCGCATCTCGCCCAGCTCTGCCCCTTTCCCCCAGGGCATCACTTTTTGGCRTGCCCGTATTACCGAGAAGCCTCCGGGCCCTTTGCATCCCTGTCCAAGCCAATGYGGCCAGCAACGCCTGGAGTTACACTGGCCTAAAAACCAGGGTTACACTGGCCCAAAGGGGCTGTCTGCAGCCCCAGCTCCCCCTGCTCAGGGAAGGGCTGCTAGGGGCATCAGCAGCACCGCGCTGCAGGGGGACATGCCTGTCCCCTGCGACGGGGTGGTGTCAACCAGCCCTTTCTGGACAGCGAGGAGACTTCCCAGAAGGCGGGAGCTGCCCCTCCGCAACAAACAAGCGGCTGCCGCGTTACTCTAATACTAGGGGCAAAACGGATCTTTAAAGCAGGTAAATAGATGATGAATTCCATGAGAAGCGAGGCAACAGGCTCTACGCAGTCCAAGAAACGCACAGGAAAACGCAGCCTCTGTATCAGGTGCAGGGYCCTCCTCTCACCGCACCGTGGGAAGGAGAGCTTGCACCCCTGCTCGAGGAGCCCGGTGGCTTCTCTGCTCCCAAGCAGGAAACACTATTTCCATCCCACGGGTAGGAAAAGATGACCCTGTCTAGGGAAGGCAACCAACTTGCATGAGACAAGCCGATTTCACCAGCTTATCTCTATTTTGACAAGGTTTACTTTGGCCTAGAAAGCAGCATTTTTCCACAGAAAAATCTTGAAAGTATCACTCAATGTGATTTTTTTTTCACTTACAAAAGAAGTCCTAAACCAGCTTATCCCGAGTTCAGATATTTTAAGGCAGAGGGGAATTTAGATTTCCCAACAACGGAGCTTTTAATGTGTGCTGTTTGCCAAGATGATGAGCGCGTCCAAGAACATGACTCAAGTTGTCAGGCTTCTTGAAGCTAGGAACTGTCTCCTCCATAAAAACTATCACAGTTTTCCACGGATGCCACTTGGCTTCTATTTTTGCTCTCCTATTATGCTGTGTTAGCTTGCGTGCACAATGCAACCTAAACAGAGATAAGAAAAATACTTGTTTTTTTCTTGATGTGTTCCAAAACGAGGGGGGAATAACAGTAGATTTATTTATGCATTTCTTTTCATAGTAAATTGTTCGCACTTCAGCAGCAGGACTCTGCACAAGAAAGATCTTTCCAGCTCTAATTCTCCCCAGCAGGATGGCAGGAGATTCYAGTGCCGGAGCATCTACCCTCTTCCCAGGAAGCGTCAGACTTTGGACCGTGTGTGGGGAGATACAGAGTTCTTCTGCTGACTCATCCTGGCCCAGATCAGGCACCTCGCCTTGGGGCYGGGAAGGAGAAAAGGTGCAAGGAAACCTAAAATGTCCACCTGGAGAAACAACACAGCACAACACAAAACAAGAGCTCTTGAACAAGCCAAGTTAGGAAGGAATTGGGTCTATTGGTCCTGCTTGTTTGAGTCAGCAAAGAATCAAACTTGCAAAAAACCCACATTCAAGCAGCMAGGATTTGGCTGCTTCCAGGAGGTGGCCCCAACACGGAGCTTACACGAAGYGCTCCGAGAGAAGCCAAGCTCTGCCCTCCACTTCTGAGGCCCCTCACTGGCCCTTGAGCTTTTGTGCAGGATCCGCACCCAAGGGCTCAATAYGCTCCGAAGTGCTTTGCGGTGAAGCAAGGCAAGGGAAGGAAGAGTTTAGATGACTTCACAACRTTCTCTCCTGCTCATACCTCAGCTGCGCCTCTCTGGACATATTTTCACAGGCCCCTCAACTCAGCAAGAATTAAGAGCTGAGCCCTTTCCAAAAGCAACGGAGGCTTTTACTGCATCAGGTATCCAGGGGAAGCTGCATCTTCAGACTCTTCATTTCTACATCTGGATTCAGGAGGACGAATGGCAGCCTCTGTCTCACTGCTTCACTTGTGGACCCTTGTGAATTCCAGCGGGCTAAGAAAAATTCCCATCAGTTACGAGGACCAATTCACATCATTGGGTGTTTTTTTTTGTGTGCACAGCTGTATGCAGTGCATTCCTTTCCAAAAAGCCAGCAGAAAGGAAAAACAGCACAAGTTCCCCCTGCAAGCCTGTATGCACAGGAGCATCTGCACCTGAAGAGCGTGTCCTGCCATCTCCAAGGGCTCTTGTGCAATGGGGAACACCCAACGTGCACCCCAAGCAAGTTCTCTTTGCAGAGCGTCTATGTGTACACCAGCACGATTACTTTGGTGCAGAGTGCATAAATTTTGCTTTAAAACCTCCTTCGGGGGCACTTAGCACAGAATTAGGGCTAGAGCAACCAAATTATCTACTCATTGCAAGGTGCTTTCTCAAACCTAAGTCACACCAGCATCATCCACTACGATGCGATACTTCACTCTTGACTCCTTGTTCTTGATTCCTTATTCCTCAGGGAATTCTCCTTGMCAGCTATTTCTGTGCTTATAGTGTCTCATCAGAATTTTAAGCTCCTTTAAGCTCAGTATTATCTGACTTCATSTCTCGCCAAAGCACCATAAAGAGTTCCAATACTGTAAAAATAACAACTCCTCYGATCTCTGTGCAAACTGCCTCGTGTGTCCTGTCAGTTCTACTTTGTGGATGCACAGAACCAGACTTCTTACCTTGCTGCCGTAATAGAATCMCAAAAGTCTCCAAAAACACACAGTGCTAGTGAAATACAAAGTTTTGCATTCATGAGATGTYTATCCATATTGTAAAGGTTAAGAAAACACTGGGGTACAAACAATTAGTGGAAACACTTTGATAATTTCGCTGGGAAGCATGATTCGCTCTTATTAAACCACCTTTGCTATGGATAAATACCCTGCTACATCTTGAAGTTAAAGTGACCTCCTAGTGCAATTTTTAGACATATGTAGAAAGAGGCATCTCATTTCTCAGGGCAAGGCTGGGGCTGGGAACACACTCTGCTGGGTTTACTGCCAAATGCYGTGAGGCACAAAAGGCAAATCCATTTTCTATCCCTACAGCCCACTTCTCTTACCTGTAAAAGGGCATTAACTTCACCCTTGCTGCTTTTATGTAACTTCACCACACAACTTATGTTCAGGTTGAAAAAAAAAAGGAGTGCTCTCTGTCCATTTTCACAAATAGGTGGTAACCATCATTTATTGACCTCCATTATTTTGTACAGATTCTCTGTGTCACCAAGGATAAAAGAAGGGTTGGGTGTTCAAAAAGAGATATAGTTATGCTTTGCAGTGTGATAAATGCATTCTCACACTTTTTAAATAATAAGCAAATTTCTGAGCTGTAAAAGCAGGCTTGTCTCATTTTTGATCAATTTAACAGCTGTTTTGAGTATTTTATGTTTACCAAAATGTTTTCCATTTCAAACTTTCACGTTTGAAGAAGGCAGCCTTTTCTGTATTTTCAAACGTAATCTGAATTCTCTTTCCAAGTCTACATCAAGCAAAATATTCTTAAACATACCAAACTTCGAGAGAAAAGTTGTTTGCTGTTTGCAGTGAGATGAAGAGATAAGAATGTCTTTAAATGCTTCCCTCTTCCCTAGGAGCATGACAGTGCTTCTTATGGAATGAAAACTTCTCATCTCAGTAGCGTTTCATGGCAAAGAATCGCTGTTCAARGCATCGTTCAAACATATCAAAGGGAAAGAGGGCAGAGGCCTTCCCTATCTCTTCACTTACAAAAAAAAGGAATATATAACCAGTCAAAGTTTAGAGAGTTGACAAACGTGATTACTGAAACATTATGGTATGTGTCAACTAGCAGAGTGGCATCACCTCAAGGATGAAGGTCTCAGATGCTGCAGATGATGTCTCTGACCACAGCAGGCAGAGCAGATCCCAAGGGATGGCTACAACACTGCCCTCCAAACTCCCTTCTCTTTATATCAGCGTTGAACAGGGCATCGTTCCTTGTGGGCTGGAATTCTGCACTCCATGCTGCTCTGTGAAAGCAAGGCTGAAAGGCAGGACAACGTGGGCCTCTGAGAATGGCACTGCTCTTCTTAGAGCAGATGCAGAAAATTGTGAGGTAAGCAAGTTGTTTATATTTGGAAACTATATGTTCAAATCAGATATTTAAATATTTTTTAGAAAATAAAGTTATTCATTCAGGTAAATGCATTAACCCAGGAAAAGCCAAAACAAAACCAAACAGCCAGTATGAAGATTTTCTTATAATAAGAATTCTTCTAGGAAGTATATTAAATACATGACAGGAGGAAAATAATTTATACTTATGGGCATCACATTTTAGAACAATGTCTTAGCCACTAATCATTTTATAAATGATTCATAAAGACATTAAATACGATATTCCACAAAAGAATAATCAGATTTACAGTTCAGATGTAAAGCTTCACCGTAACATCCCATACCCTTCCCCTGTCTCTCCATGTACCCAAGCTGAGCAATCTCTACTTCCTCTGCCACCAGAGTAATGCAGCTTGATGGTCCTCAAAAGCACATCCAATATTCAGGTTTGCTTTTCAAGGTTCAGCAAAGTAATACTTGAATTATTACTAGAAAGCATCCTGCTATTTGTCACAGTCAAAACAAATGACAACTTAGGAGATATATGCCAGGTGACAAGGTTGAGGGAATAGATAATTTAAACTTAAAAAAAATCTAGCTGCCTGTTATGCCATCATATTACTAGTCATTGAGCACAACAGGGCCACTGCAATTCCAGATTACTGACTAGAAACAGTCCTTCCTTTAAACAAGATACATAACTTCTGTGTGGAAAAAAAATCAGGAAAAAATTGTAAGAAATATCAATCTCCACAGCTATTATGTGCATAAGAACTATTTTTACAGAGCTCAACTCAGTAAAAAGCTCTCGAAAGAGAACCAGTTTACAGAGACTAAGTTGATTCAAAATACTAAATTTAATACTGGTATCAATTATATCCCTTAGTTTCCTTATGCATCAAGTACAAATCAGAAAACAGACAAACAAAAACCTGCCCTGAATAACTCGTTTTCACTCACAAAACATCGTCAGAAACCTGGCATTTTACAGCACAACGATCTGATGTTGCAGTTTACGCATCCCTTCTGCAGACAACAGTCACAAGTACTTACTAAAAATACAGGTATGTTTCCTAAAGGTAACGTGAAGCTTTATTTAAGATGACAAAGCTTTTGTAACGGTGCAGGGTGCAAGTTGTCAGGATGAGGCCACTCAGAAGATCTGCTGCTCAAAGAGGATCTTTTCAAACCCTGGTGGAGGTGTATGGTAAAATTCACTGAACTGACAATCCAGAATGGCACTGTCGTCAACTGCAGAAGAGACAATCAAAAAGAAGGCATTAGAGACACAACATTTGTATTCTGATCCTCTGGTACACCACCTTACTAGATTATAGACGTGCAAATACTACGTTCAGATCATGAAGAACACTCTCCAACACATCCATTTCATTAATACAAGAAGAAATCTCTTCAGAAAACCAGCTAAATCCCTGCACTCACACCCAAGAGGAGCAGATCATCTCCCTTTTCTCCTGTTACTTCAGTCTGAAATGGTCTCTGATAAAGTCAAGTTCTCTCTGATTTTGCTGGATGCATTAGCATGGCTTCACATAGCTCTTCCCAAATTTTCCACCTTATTTCTCTGGAAATCTACAAATCAAGGACACTACTAGATAAACGTTGCAGGGTTGTCCCCTCCTCAGCTGCACGTTTTTCTGTTTACTTCCTAATTTTGCTGCAGGATTACAGGGTTTTAGCTGTCTGCATTAGCTGGTGTCAGATGATCTTTTTGAGACTGCCATACCAAGAGAGCTTTCCTCATCCCTTTTTAAGTTGGAAGTTAATTGTGTTTTTAAAAGCAGTACCTCTCCCACTTTGGGGCCCTCTGCATGATCTGAAACAAAAGTGTTATTAGCCTTCAATGCAGAAAATGAAAATAAAACCACTGAGTATTTTCACAGCTGTGCTTTCAAGTACTGCCTTGGCAAACTGAAATAGCCAACTGATTACAAAAATCAAAACTTCTTTCRAAGATATTGTCTTCTAAGACCTAAATTTGATATAATAGTAGCATTACACCAAAAATAATAATAAAAAAGCTTTACCTCCATATTTGGGGTTGGAATTCAGATATCTCGAAGCCCAGATGGGGAATTTTCCTTCCCAGGCTCAGCTAAAGACTACTGTTAGCGTGCTTGTTTGGCTCTGCTGCACTTATGCAGTGGTGGTAACTTTGCACCTCACTTAGGCACAGCTGCTGTGAGGAGCAACACGCAAGCTCACCTTTCTGCTTTACTTTCCCAGACTTGACACCACGTCCATCTACTCATTCCTGTTTCTTCCAAAGATGTCTGCAGCTCTAGTCTGAACAGCACTGGACTAATTCCTAAGAAACAATCTTGCCCGTGCTCAAATCCTCTCACTGGACCAGGAGGCGCTCAGGGAAGATGGAAGCAGCAGCCACCACAGAGCCTCTCTCTTCTCCGAGCGCTGCAGGAGAGCGGGCAGTGCATTTTGGCGCTGCATTTTMGCAGCGCCATCATGTGGTACAAGAGCAGATCACAAAAGGACTGGATGGGAGACACCACAGATTGACAGTAAAGGCAAATTTTTGCTCTTAATACCTCTGGAGAGGGAAGCTGTTAGCAGAATTCATGCTCTTCAAAGGCACCACAGCACATCTGGAGTATTTGCTCCCTGCTCTTGAGCTGTAATATTGTTTGTCAAGACGTAGAAGTGGGAACGTGCCGAGTGTTCACAGGCAGCCATGGAATGAAATAGTTATCCATGCCAWGCAGTGCAACGACATCTCAAGAGGTACGGGCTGCCCAGGGAGGCTGTGGAGTCTCCTGCTCTGGAGATCTCCCAGACCCGCCTGGMTGCCGCYCTGTGCCCCGTGCTCTGGGTGTCYCTGCTGGAGCAGGGGCTTGGACTGGATGATCTCTAGAGGTCCCTTCCAACCTCAACCATCCTCTGATTCTCCAAGTGAGTTTGGCAGAAGACAGTACTTAGGACAAGGCTTAAAAAGGAATAAAAGCAGCCTGGGGATGGCTGCAGGTGCCACGCAGGGTATTCAATGGGTGGTTATGGTTTTCTGTGAATCACAAGGCACGCCAGAGCTTGGTGTGACGATGCACAGAGCACGGGGAAGCGCGGTCTCTCATCTGAGATGTTAAACAGGATTCGGACTACTTGGGAACTACAAAAACACCGCCAAGTTACAGAAGAGTAAATTGTTAACACATGTCCTGGCCGGATCCCAGCTTCCATAATTCATAAATTCCTTTTCAGACCGACTATGCAGAGATTAATTGCATCTGTATTTGTTTCTTGTTCAGAACTGCAGCATCGTCCTGATGACTGCTGGTATAATCGTTACCACAATTCACTCACCGACTGCTGGATATCTGAATGGGGCATCGATTTGTCAGAGGAGCAAAAAGTTACACTGCTATATGGCAAGCAGCTGTGCCACTGCTAGAATAGGGACATGTAAACAGCAATTCACAACCTACCCATATTAGACACGAAGCGAGTTTATAAAACATGTGAAATTCACAGGCATAAATACCAGGCTTAAGAGATGAAGTGGACGAGCCCACTTGTCCACACTAGGTTGGATTTCTGTTGTTTCTTTTTTTTTTTTTTTTCTCTTAATTTCAGGAATTTTTAGACTGCAGCAAGTCCACAGCTTGTTGCACTTGCTCATTTTTTAACTAACCTGAAAGCAGRGCCCTTGTTTCTCACTATTAGGTAGCACTAAAAATTAAGTGAACATATACTTTTGTGTTTTCCTAATTCCATATATCCACACAATTAATAGCTGTAGTTGCCATAAATCAGTGCTTGATAGTGAGTGGAAAAAAAATGCAAGTTCCATGCAAGCAAGGAGAAGAATGAAGCAAGGAGAAGAATGAAGCAAGAAAGCAAGCTCAGGAGACACGCTTCAAAAAAAGGATGTTACATGTCATGAAAGGATGTGAAAATCTTTACTTACCATATACCACTGGATAGACAGTCCCCCTGATTCCTGAGGCTGGACAATGCATGTTCTTCCCATTTAAATACACATTTAATTCTACATGATCATATGTAATCCCCTACAAAGTTGAAAATATTACGGAAAAAAAATGCTGTTAAATTTTCATTAGCAATGAAAACTGCTACTTATTCCAGTTTTATTAGYTACTGGCAGGTTTTAACACCAGTATGTAAACTACAGCATGACAGAAAAGAAAAGATTTAAACTATTCTTGTGAAGAGCTGGAAGTCAATAAATGATGATAACATTTTTTTTTCAAATACTCAGGATTCCTTAATGCTCATTCAGTTGGGATGTAGCACAATATTGCATATCCTAGCTGATCAAGGACAATTTACAAAGTAAATTTGCAGATTATTTTTCACCATGTCAGGGAATCACAACATTTCCAGTGATTTTGAATATTAAGCATTTTATAGTCTGCCTGTTTATGTTTCCCCGTGGAAACGATTTTAATAAATAACGATGTTATGAATTCAGTTTATTTGTTGATCCCATCCCTTTGAAAACCTCCCCGAGCTCTTTTCTTCTGGCAGCAGTAACAGAGCACAGTTTGATACCCAGTTCTACAAACACGCAGATTTTCAGGGCAGAAAGCAAACATCAGCAAGGTAATAAATTACTTATTTGCTAGCTAAATGATTTTTCTGACTGCTGCTGGTGTGGCTGAGGGTGACAATTTGTGCTGCTATTCACTACTTCAGAAACCTTTTTTTCCTGACAGAACACATTAAAAGGAAATTTAAAAGAACTGGGGATTTAGCAAACGAGCACATCAGMTACTTTTTTCTTTTGTTAATTTGAAGCTATACAGACTAAATAGGCTGACCAAATCCTGAAACAGCCTGCAGCCCTCCAAAAAAACAATTTCAGAAGGGGATTAAAGGAATCATAAGTGTCTGAGGGTAGAGGGGTTAACATCAGCTGTTTGGGGCTTCTAAGAGCTTGATTTTTTTAACTATTGATATATGGATTCAAGATTACCTAAAAGGAAAACCTGTTGGTGAGAAGTGATCTAAATTTCATTATTCTTGGGTGTTTTTGAAAATTGATCTCTAGCAATTAAACAGAGCCCTATGAATTCAGCGCCACTGAAAAACATTTTAAGAAACTGCAAACAGCAAGGCACAAAAAAAAGGTGCCTATAAGTTCATTTTGCTCTCACTGCTCAAGCATCTGCAGAGGGAGAATCACTCACTCCATCCTGTTTAATTTTTCTCTCTTCCTTATAAAGGTTTGGCCCAAAATACAACTCATCTATCAGGTAGGAGCTGTCCTTGCTCACCTCTGTCCTTCTAACTATTAACCAGGGGGGCTGTTACGTTCAGCTGGGCATGTTACCCAGCTGTGTGATGCATTCCAGCACATCATTTATGGGGGAAGTCCAACCTCAGGAAGGGGTGATCCTTGCGATGGGAGTTATTGGTTGGGTGGATGCAGGTAGAGGCTGCACCAGAGCAGCAGAAGCCGCTTTTCAACCCCTGGTAAAGTCTCTCCCCCTCAGAAACCCATCACTGCTGAGATGAAAGTCCACTGAAATGCAGACTGCTGATCCATTCAAATTTAACAAGAGTTTATGTCACCACTTCCCGACGTGAGCGATGCAAGCCAAACAATAATTCAACTGAAATGATCAGTCTGACCACACAGCTGCAAATAGGAAAAGTCTGGGAACAGCTGCTGAAGATAAAGAATCCTTAGGAAACTCACCACCACGTCGCCCTCCTGAGGAAGGCTGTTTGCTGGCAGCCTATTTTTCTCCTCGTTGTTATAATAGAGAGCTCCATCATTCCTCATCACCAGGCTATGGACATCTCGACCAAGGGGGATTTGATTCAAGTTTGCTTTCTGGGTTGCAACTCCAATACCCCAAATCCCTAAAACACAAYGTTCACATGGTAAGAGAAAAGCAAAGTTACTCGTCTGACGGCCGTTTGCAGGACAGCATAAAGGACAGGCTTTCAAACAAGTGCCACGGAGCTCTTATCTGTTAAGCCCCCTTTGAAATACCAGCAGTCACAAAGGACTGATGAGACAGCTTGTATCTCGGAAAAAAGAAGGATCCACACAATTCTAAATTACTTAGATTAGTTTTCTTCTCAGAAAAAAAAAAAGAAGAATAAGGGAAACTAACCCTCTGTGTTAAAGGAGGTAAAAATAAATCCGTCTACCAAGGATTTGTCAACAACAAATCAAGTTAGAACAAGATCATTTCCCTTTTCAGCTAGCTACACTCGCCCTAGGGATAAAGGAGAAATAATAAATATGATGGATTTTGATTTGCTAACGTTTTTGAACCTCATCGGACATTTAAACACTCAACTTAGGAAAATGTGGTCAAGATGCAGTTACCAGAACATGAATGCACAAACGGATCGAAAACAGCCTTGATCAGGCTACTGATCAACAGTGCCCTGTCAAACCTACRGGATCACTCAAGGGGGTCTGAGGCTTTGGATTACATGCCTGTGGCCAGATACTCTTCCGTGTTCGGATTAAGGACTTGGATAATGTGGCAGTGAGCTTATTAAATKTGCTGCCAATATCCCCGGACAGGGTTGCAAACACTTCCAAACTGATCCAGGTTTTACATGATGGTGACAAATTGGTGGAAAGGCCTGAAGTAAGGAGCATGCAATTGTGTGAACTGCACTAAAAAGGACAGCAGGTAAGTAAAACAATAAACTGCATAAATATAATAATGGCTTGGTAACTAGCTCACAAAATATAACCTGGAGATTATCATAGACCACAGGCTGAACAGACCCCCAAGTCTAATGTCCTACTTTTGTGGGAAAAAAAGTCCTGGGTGTATGACATTTATAAATTAAATACACTGGATGTAAAGTACATGTTTCACCTGAAGCACAGCATCCCTGTTAGGCATCACACCTCAAGACATATTAGATCTATTAAGAGAAACTGAGGAAGAAACAGTAACAACAATCAGAGCTCTAGAAAACATCATCTGTGAGCRAAGATATCTAGAGAAAAGGAAAACATGCAAATACAAAGATGTGCAGAAATAATTTTCAAAATACAGAAAATACAGAACTGGAGAATGATTTACCCTAATACTTAAATCTCCATAGTGAAGAGAATCAGATACAGATGTAACTTAGGGGGAAAAAAATCACCTTTCCAATAGTCAGGCTACATGAGCCCAATCAGACTGCCCAGGGACACGTTTGTGTTTCAAAGTTAAGTGATCTCCAATTCTCCTGCCTCGGGACATGGGAATGGAGAAGATGGGGCTCAGGGGGACCACATGAGTTTGCTTCCTGTGTTTCTAAACTAAACAGGGCAAGAACATGGATACTGTGTGTGAGTGAAAAAGAGCTGCAGCTGCTTCTACCCGCAATGGGAAGGATATTAAAATCACCAAGTTAAGCGTGTGCTGGGGTGTACAGGATTTAACAACAGTCAGCCAAAGCAACTGCAAGGTCTTTTGGACAGATTTRCCCTCACACTGCCTACACCCTAAACCAACTCAGTGCAAACAACTAGCATCCAAAACGCACAGTATTAGCTCCAGCTAAAATCATCAGCTCTGGAGTGGATTCTGTGCTAGTGCAGTCCAGCGTTTTCAAAACTTAAAAGGTCCTTTCACACAACGACAACTTACAAAACCCTCTSATGTTCACAAAGTTCAAGGATAAGAAGGACGCACGTGCTCAGTACTTGAGATACAACGACCAGCGGGCAACCAGACGCATCTTTCCAAGTTTAAAACTGTGCCTCTGTGCTGACTAACCTGTGGACTGGATTTTAAACTCGAAATAGCTCTTGTTCTGATGCAACGGTGCGTTGGCTAAGCAGCCTCCCGTGCCACATATCCTTCTGCCATTTTTGACAATGACGACATCTGTTCCTGCAAAGAGGAGAACGAAAAAAAACACAAATAAAACACACAAAACTTCAAAACCTCTTCAGAAGTCTGGAGGCAGACCCCAAAAGCCCTAAATACTGAGAACATTTTTGTTCTTTCAGCCTTAAGTAAGAGCTTCAATAGTCTGTGAGAATTGTGATGATGGGCCACACTTTTAAGTAGGAAAGCTGTTTACAGGCTACTTCATCTTTCAACCAAGGTTTATTTATCTAAAATCTATACTCCGTTCTCATTTCACCTCTTGGGTTTTAAGGTACCACACTGATTACAACCTTTAAAACTTAGCTAGAAAGGGCTCACCTAAACCCTGCACCCTGTCTCTACATGCTGGAGAAAATAAAATCTGCCAACTGAAGGAAAGGCACAGGGGGTAGAAACGTTTGAAGGAGTTGTCAGCTATTTAATTATTCTCCAAAACAATCTTTTTAACAGTAACACACCTTGCAATGCARAGCAATTGTAGGATAGGACCCTGCTAAGTCCCTCTGGTGAAAAACTTCAGCCTTAGGCCCTGTGTCACGCTCAAGCGTGTGGTAAAAGTCACTGTGCACCCGCTCAATACAGAGTGGGCCCCAAACGGGCTCAGGGCCTGGCTGTCCATGGGGCCTCCCTCCAGCTCGTTCCCTGCCCTGTTTGGAGGGCTCTGTGGAGGCGCTGCTCCTGTTCCTGCAACAGGACTCCCTGCAGGCCCAGGCCCAGGCCCAGGCCCAGGCCCAGGCCCGGGCCCGGCCCAGGCCCAGGCCTAGGCCCCACGACGTTCCCCTCAGGAAGGCCCGGACCCCCTGAGTCCCTCGGCCCTCCTCGAGTCCCACTGTCCCCTCGCAGCTCAACCCGCCGCCGTTTCCGGGCTGCAGGCGCCGTTTTGGGGCAGTTTCCCCCTAATTTACTGGGAAAACCCCAGGAGGGCCCGCGGGCTCCAGCCCCAGCCCAGGACACGGGGCGGGGCTTGCGGGCAGGGGCGGGGCTTGCGGGCAGGGGCGGGGCTTGCGGGCAGGGGCGGGGCTCGCGCAGGCCCCGCCTCCCGCGCTCCCCCCCCACCCCGCCGCCGCGGTGTGTGGGGGAGGGGCGGGGGTCTTACCCATGCGCTGCGTGTCCAGCTGCACGGCGGGCATCTCCTTCAGCGGGATGTGGCCGCCGCCGCCCTCCCCGCACCAGCGCAGGCAGCAGAACACGGAGGCGGCCATGGCTGCCCGCGCTGGGCCGAGCCGAACCGAGCGGCGCCGGGCCGGGTCGGGCCGGGCCGAGCCGAGCGCGCATGCGCGGACGAGCGCGGCGCCGCAGCGCCCCCTGCCGCGCGGGAGGTGGCGCCGCGGGAGGGGGGAGCTCCTCCTCTGCCCCTCCCCCCCGCAACGGCCGCCGCGGGAACCGTTGGGGACCGTTATCGGCACCAACGGATTGCTGTTATTTATCCCGCCTTGGGCATCCCCGTGGCTTGGTTGCCTCTGGTTTCTCATGAGGTCGTACACTCCCTACAAAAAATTCCGTTACAAAAAATCATCTTTCAGTGGGAAGTGAAAGTTTAAAAAACACAAGGATCAGCGGCCAGAAATCATAGAATCATGCACTCTTTTATTTATTCCCCCATCCCTTCCTTTGCAGTGGAAGGGTAAGGATTGAACCTCTCGTTCCCTCGGTGCGGTGCTGTACCCCTCAAATCACAGGCGGTCACAGTAAATGTCAACTTAAAACACACGCCGGCACAGGGCGCACGTCTACCGGCTCCGGCGAGATACGCGGAGAGCCTGACAGCAGCGCCCATGTGTTTCGCATTTTGAAACCGTGCTCGGGATCCGCCTTTTAAAATCTGTAGACACAGATATACACGCGGCTTTGGCAGATGGTAGAGATCGTGTCAAGGGACTGCTAACAATACTGTCCCGAGCCATTGAAAACCAAACGCTTCGTGGAAATCCACTGGTCAGTTGTTCATGGCTCCAAGTAATGAGAAGCACATTTATCTTCTTTCCGTTTTTTTTTTTCTTTGGAAAGAAAAATACCTCCGTCCAAAATAAAATATTATTTTATTATAAAATAAAGACAGGCTCCTTGATGTCCTTGATGCAGACGTTCCACTTGGCAGAGGCCCTGTCTGTGGTCCTGGGAGCCCCTCAGCCTGTTCCCAAGCTCCCTGCGAGTTTTCTTGCTCCGTTGGTTGTGCTTTGCGTGCCTGGAGCAGGCAACATCCAGGGGCGCTCGGCAGAGACGGATGCGACACGTGGTGGGGCAGGACTGACCTGTGCAACGCTCCTATCCTGCACCTCTCCRAGGCTTGGGGAGTCCTGTGAGGAGTCCTCCTCTCACACCTGGATGGTCAAACCTTAACCCTACTACGTGCTCCTGATGGCAGCCCCAAGCTGGGAAGCAGGGGCAGAGAGCCCGGAGCTTGTCACCTCTCTCAGTTCACTTCCTGTGCAAAAAAAGGTGTTCTTTTCTTTCCAAAATAAAAGTGACCATCGTCCCAAATGCAATAGGTGCATCTTTAATAAGCTGATAAGATTTTTGATCTTTTTGATCATAACTGTTCGTGAATGCATCTTCCAAACCAGTCCTATCTAGTCAGTCTTAACTCTCATTTTTTAAGTCCTGTTTACTTCTAGAGCATCTTTTTTTCTCATTAGAAAATAATTTCATTATTTTTCATCAGGATAACTGCATTCAGAAGCTTTGGTGGAATCTTTCTCCTGCTTTACCAGTTGATCCGAGCAGTGAAGGCATATACCAGGGAAAAATCAGGACGCTATAGCTGCTCTTACTATAAAAYACACAGTGACATTTTGGAATCAGCTTTGTGTCCCTCTCAGGGTGATAGAATGTCCCTTAATTCAAATACTTTAGCTTGATTTGTGGCCTTTGGCTTTCTTGGGTGATTTAGCCAAAGCTCTAGAGCTCCAGGACACGCAGTATCCAGAGACAGGGCTCCAGTTTGTTACTCCAGCAAACAGGGCCAAGAGCGGTAATACGGCTATAGCAGCCCACCTGAACCTACTTCAGGTTCTTTTTYATCTAAGAAAAAATACCCAGTAAATGTTGTGCTGTGAACTGCTGATCTACAATGTTTTGCAGACAGCAGATCATTTAAATATATACATTTAAAGCCATATTTATCTCCAAACCAATTTGGGATGAAATCGTTCTTTCTCATGATTTTCAGTTGGTGTCTCATTTTGTGGTATTTCACCTAAAAAGCTCCCTCAACATTTTACTGCCCTATATAACACAATGCAACTAATCTAACCCATGTGGTATAAGGTTATCTATCATAGGGTTTTTATTCTTTTTTTTTTTTTAAGCGGATATTCAGAAAACCCTGTTAAAAGAAATTTTCCTAGCAAGAAATACCTTATTGGCCTGGATGGGCTCTATCAGTCACACTCACCTCTTTACTTGAAACATGAGGTGAAACGCTGTCTTTCTGAAAATTGTGCCTAAAACCAATCTGATTTTAAGAGCAGCTTTAAAATATGCTTCCTTTCTTTTATTGGACTTACTGTTACAGCCCATAAACATTTGAGGTCAAGAGCTCACTTCCTTAAAATATGCCAAATGGGATTATGTTTGAATTTTAAAGATGTACATATTAGCTGGAAACTGATGTTTATTTATTTCGTATGTAGGGCATCGGCGCTTGCATTGGTAACTGGCTTTTCATGTAATTAGTCCCATATAAGTCGCTGTGGGATTTTTATTGTCTGTCACATGCTGCGAGTTTGTTACAGTAAATGCTAAATGACAAATGCTAATATATTTAATTTTTTTTTAACGACTTAACCTTCAAGTGACCTCCCATCCCACTTTGTCTCTGTGACCCATTAAGTCTTTCCCTGCCCCAAATGAGCCCCGGGAAAACGATGCTAACTCGGCACACGTGCTCAGTATTGGGAAGGTGGTTGTGCCAAGCAGGACGGGGCTCTTCGGAGCCATCTCCATTGGTGCCTTCCTGCTGGCTCCCTGTTCMACCAGTCTCCCAACTCGGCCGTCTGGTTTTATGGCCCTTGTCATTTGCAAATTGTCCCGCTTGGAGCAYGTTTGGAGCCTCCCAAAATGCTCACGCTTCCCAAAGAGCTGCTCCGAGGAAACGGGGAGCTGGATGGGAGCGCTTACAAGCRGAGCTGTGCATGGCAGCGGAGGGTTAACTCAGCTCCAGGACTGTGCGCTGTTGTCGTTGGGGAGGCCAAGTATTCCGGGCCCTCCCACACTGGAAGCAAACCTCTGCACGGCGTGTCTAAACATGCTTCTTGCTCCCAGGGTTTCGGCTTTATTTCTGTGAACAGTAGCAGCAGAGACATTTTGTGTGGGAACCATGTTAGAAGAGCCGGAGAGAAGCACGGTCCAATCTGCCTCCCAAATGCCGACCCGTGGGGAGATCCTGCTGAGCTGAAACCGTGGCCGTTGACTTGTTCTGCACCCTAGCTCCAAGCTTCATCCTCAAAACTTAACTGTCTGTTATTAACCCCATGAAGCMGATCCATATCAGCACACAAATATGTTTTAATGAGGACCCCTAATATCCCTGAAGCCAAAGGAGAAGGGGACTGTGTATCACCTGCTGCTGCAGCCTCTAATCCAACAGGCCTAGTAGTTCAGTTCTGAGAAAATGAATATTCYTGTTAATCTCTGCTCTCCTTAAAACTCTGCTAGTAAAAACAGTAAAAACTGTTAGGACTTGGCCTAACAAGGGCCTAACTGTTAGCTTGGCCCTTGCCATGAGCTTTGTGGGGGCATTTCCTCCTAGGAATAGCCAATGAAAGGATCATTATAAAACATGCTTGGGTGGGTTTAGTGACATCTTCATTGCAACTTGCAGAGAGGTAAATGATAGCGTGGGCCTGGAAAACCAAGGCTTGGTTTTGGAGTGCAGTCCTGCCACTCGCAGGGTGAGGCCTGTGGTTTGGAAGATGACATGAGCAAGGTCTTGGGATGAAAAACAGGTTGTGCTTGTGCTTTTGAAATCTTCATTAGACGGGTTCTTGTGAGGATCAGCACTCTGGGGATGTCTTCTTCGCCATGTGCCAGGTCCTAGAAGCAGCAGTGTATGAAAATTATTTTTGTTCCTAGTTATTCTATTTACTTTGGAGRTCACTTCTTCCTCCTCCTTTATGCCACGCAAGCAAAAGCCACGGCACAGAGCCTTGATCTACAGGCAATCACAGACCTGGTTAAAGCCGACAGGCGCGCTGGCCATGCTGCAGGCAGTAAATGCCCTCTGCGACGGTGTAAACCAGCTGCCGCGAGCAGAAACGCCAGCGCAGGGCATGGGCCGAGCACCGAGCCGAGCTCCGCGCGCTGAGCAAGCCCTGGCTTGGAGAAAGCCAGCGGGTTTCCTGGGGGCAATGGGCTGCAGCCGCGTTCGCCTGTGTGCGCGTCAGGGGCTGGAAGCACTGGAGCCAGCGGGAGAAGAAGCATCACGCGGCACTGGGCTACGGCCAAGGAGTGCCAGCACCCACTGCGTGTGTGGAAACGGGACGTGGCTGTGCCATCCCTGTGAATAAATAGGATTGTGCTGAGGAGATAACGGAATTCAGTGTCGTTTTTTCCTCCTTGAGAAAATCCATCAAGGCCCCAAGTGTGGGTTCACCGTGTGGGTTGAAGTTCTTCATGTAAAGCTATAAAGCTACTCAGTGCTGCTAAAGTAGTCACTGGAGACCCTGCAGATACCAAGGAAGCCTCTGAAACCCAGACCTCAAACACTGCACTTGATCACTTCAATTGCTGATGATCCTTCACGGCTCTTTAATGCCTGGTATTTCTACAATACCTATTAAAAGTAGCTTTTATGGAAATGTAACGAGAAACTGCTTTCTCTCATCTCTCTTTCGGAGTGTTTAATACAGTCCAGATGTATCTATTGCAAAGGAGCACAGTCAGATACAATATAGTTGTGAAAGGTTTATACACGTTTAAGGTGTTTGATACACGGAGCTCTTTTTGAATAGTTTCCTTATTCATGTTATCTTGCCGTGTTTGGCTATTGAGCTGCTATCGCATCAAATCTATTGCAGATTTATTTCCATATTTAGGCCCTCCTAGTCCCTCATACATTGTATATTTCAGATGGTCTCCCTGCATTTGGGCTATGTTTGCATGTGCACAGCTCCATCACAGAATCACACAGACTCACAGACTGGTTGAGGTTGGAAGGGACCTCTAGAGATSATCTAGTCCAASCCCCTGCTCCAGCAGGGACACCCAGAGCACGGGGCACAGGGCGGCAKCCAGGCGGGTTTGGGAGATCACCAGAGAAGGAGACTCCACAGCCTCCCTGGGCAGCCTGTTCCAGAGCTCTGKCACCCTCACAGGGAAGAAGTTCTTCCTCAYGTGGAGGTAGAACTTCCTGTGTTTCAACTTATATCCATTGTCCCAACATGTCCTTGTCCTATCATCATGTCCTATCRTGGCATTAAGATGTATTTTAAGAGGTCCTTATCCCGAAGGCTGGATTTTACTGCATCTGCACCCTGACACTTCTGCAATAGGAGGTGAAGCCTTAACCTCCATCCGTGGGAAGTGAAGGTGGATGTGGAGCCAGAAAATAAAACTGGAGAATTTGAGGCAGGATAGCAGAGCTTTCAACCCCTCTCTTTCCGTCGGTGTTTCACCCTAGAAGACAACTCCGATCTGCCAACTCTTTGCTAGAATGGCTGTAGAGAAGCCTTAATGATGACAAACACAAATATGGAAAGAAAAATAGTTACTTTTAACTCCATKCAACTGGCTTGAAGCATTTGTGAAATAATGGCCCGTGCAGGCACCTCTATTTTATTTCGCCACGTGCAGGCTGCCACTGTGGAGGTGCCTCCTCCGCTCCCTTTCTTGCCATCAGCATCTGTGCAGCTGCAAGATCAGCTGGATGAGAAAACGGGTCCTGATGAAAACTCTTCTTCCTTCTGGATTAGCTTTCAGCTCCGTTGGCAAGTGAATCTAACTCAACAGTGTCATAGTCAGAGCCAACAGAGAAGGCCTGGGGAAAAAGTTGGTTGTTTACAGCTACCTGAGCTCTACTATGTATTTTAATAAACACTAGGACAGAGGTAGTAAAATCCTACTTGATCATTCTCAAGGCAGCCCAGGTACCCTCCACTAGTGGAGCAAGGTCTCTCTATGCATCAAACATATGCATCAAAACTGTGTTTGTCAGGGGCAGCCCTCTAGAATCCCAGGCCCTAGGGACACACGAAGAGAGCCAGAGAGAGGAAGGCTTGCCCTGGGTAGAGGAAGAGTGGGTCAGGGAGCATCTAGGGAGCCTCGACACCCACAAATCCATGGGCCCTGATGGGATGCACCCCAGAGTGTTGCGGGAACTGGCAGATGTCCTAGCCGAGCCGCTCGCCATCATCTTTCCAAGGTCCTGGAGAACGGGGGAGGTGCCGGAGGACTGGAAGAAAGCCAACATCACTC